AAGGTAACAATTTGGATCTGGCTGCATAAGAAGTTTATCTTCTGTCTTTTCACTGAGGGCCGTGGTATTTGATGGAGCTTTTCTGACGCTTTTTAAAATTCCCAGTTTCTGGAGATAGCTTTACATGACAACCTCAGCTTTTGGCAAAAAATCTTTCTAACCCTCAATGCTGCAGCAAAAGAGTTTCAAATAGGTGCAGGTTGCACTTTAGAGAGTCCAGAGAAATAGAAAAGAAGAAAAGCACTATTGTCTTCAATTGTCCCTGCAGAGCCATATCGGGGAACGTGGACTGTGTGGAATACCACTGCCACTGCCACTGCCACACAGTCTGCCAGGTGCAATTGTTTCTATGCTATGTCCTCTAGGGGGAAAAAAATCTTCCCTTATGGACTTTTGAGTTTTAAATCACCTCTACACTGGTGATTTACAGCTATTACCATACAGAGTGTTTTCACTGCTTTCAGGAACTGGGCTCCCAAGTCCAGTGTAGCCTCCTTAATTTTCTATCCTGAACCTGCTGGACAGTTGGCCTTTACCTACCCTTATCTATTTTGAAGTTGCGTGTTGGTTAATTGCTAAGATGTGTCTGTACACCTCAAAGCATTATGGTGCAAAATGCCTTGGACTAGCTCTGACCATGTTCAGGAAGGCTTCATGAAGGCACGACTGCAATAAGGCACTCTGCAGACCCTCCACTCCAGGAACAGATGCAGGATGAGCACATCCATATGGGGCTGTGCCCAGTATGTGCCCTCTATCCAGGCATTCCTCTGTAAGCAGTGACACTTTCCTAGAGAAGAAGTGATTATCTCCTGGCAGAACCTTATCTAAAGTGTTTAATACTGCATTTATTCTATTGCCTTAAATGCACTGGGTGATCAGAAAAAGCAAAAGAAAGCATTTTTAAATGTAGCCTGTATGCCTTGCATGAAGGGGGAACATGGACTAGATTCCTCTGTGTTCCTCCATTTAATGTTTTCCACAGATCTTAGGCTACTTGTCAAACCTAATAACATAAAAAAGTAAGCAATTATCTAAAGTAATAGCTTTTGTTGAGAGGAGTAAAGCAGCCATGCACAACACCCTACTGTGCATGTATTCCTGTGCATGTACCGGAGTCCTGAAAAGTCAGGCCTGTGGAGGAGGATGATACTGCTGCCAAGGGAAAGTGCAGAGGGCAAATGGTTGCTGCTGGTGTACTGGAAGCAAGTTATTCCTCCCAACAGTAACAGCAGCTACTGCCCTTTGCTCTCCCACCCATGGGACATCTGATGCTGGGATCTGCCTTCCAGTCTAGTCCTTCCTCCTCCCTTGACGGGAATAAACTTCCTTCCCTTTTTGGAATAACAAAATTTTCTCCACAATAGTAAGAACTCTTGAGCCAGTGACAAGGGCCTAAGCCATTCCTGGTGAAGAGTGAAAGGGCTAGGAAGAAATTCTGCTCAGAGCCAGGTGAAGGAGGTGCATAAAGGCATATAAAGGCTATGTATAAAGTACATAGCCAAGAATCACTAATACTCCTTGCACAGTAAGCCCTCTTCTTCTTTTATTTGGAGTAATTGCCTAAAAATGTTAACCATAGCACTACTGAGAACAATATATATATATTTTTTGTGATAATGAAATGAAAGAATTTAGTTTTTTATTTGTACTTATTGTATATGTTGGTCTTAAAAGCGAATTGCATGTGAAAAATATTTTAAAATTAAAACCACATGTTACTACTTCATAAGCAAATGTAAGGTAGTGCTAAATTACTAAAAACCAAACATTAAGGAACTATACGAGTAAATCAATGATGAGACATGACTATTTTACTATGCTAACTTTTATTGATCAAACACACAGGTAAATGGATGGCAATTCATTTTACATGATGGAAGAATAAATTACTGTAGGGCACGGACAGCAAGTAGTTGTGGAACATAAGTAACATGAATTTAATAGAACATATTCAAGGACTGTAAAGAAACTTTGATAACATGAATTTCCACCTGAGCTCAAAAGCTGTGAGGAAGATGCAAAAGATGTTAGAGCAAGAATTATAATAGAAGAAAATGGTTGTTTTTAGAATAAGCTAGCCCTGTAGTTTTGTGTGAGTCCATGCTCCCAATAGAAAAATGTAGTTCCTATTTAAGTGGAAATAGTAGCTGTAATAGCACACCTGTATGTTTGAAATATATTTACTTCCAAAATTTTTCTAACCTTGAAATTTCCTAAGACTCTCTTCACCTCTTTCTTTAAAATTCTCTCTCCTATAAATGGTTTTCTGGCTTTTCACTTTATTAACTTTGCAGAAGAAAACTAATTTGAGACACAAAACACAAAAAACTAACTGAAGTAGTGTCAGATAGCTTATGTCTGCTGACCCCCATCAGCTGAATGACCTCTAGGAATGAGGATTTTCTCAACACAAAGTGTTCATCACCCTTTTAATTACATGAAATGCATTTTTCCTCCCCTTCAGGAGGTGAAAAGGTTTGACCAGCTGAAAGGTTTGACCAACAAGGGAGACTTCCTTTCATATAGAGGAAGGCAGTGGTGGTCTGTCAGTCGGGGCACCCCAGGAGCTGTTTGTGGAGGGGTTAGGACAGAGGGGGCAGCAGCATGTCAGAATGGAGCTCACCTGGCGTCTTCCCACTGGGAGCGGGAGAGAGGCACTGAAGATGCGCTTGCAAGAAGGGCACAGCAGTGCCTCACCCTAATGAGGGGTAAAGGTACAAAAAAGTGCTGTACAGTAATGCTGAACAGAAAAGCAGGGACTCCCCTCTACCATTCTTGAGCATCTCTTCCCTCAAACAGGGAAAAGATAAACAAATTTGAACTGAAACATGTGTCTCCATGCCTACAAAGATCTTTCTGATCACTACTTTGTGATGTTAATACAAGCTAGTCCTTCTAAATACAAGGGATCAAGGCTGATTTGCTCCAACAGTTCCAACACCATTTGAAAGTTGTTGCATCGCAACAATGTACCAAAAAATGCCCTCAAGCACTGCAATATCAGGCCCAGGATCATTCCATCCATCTTTAAGCAATTACATGTCAATGGTAGGATAATCTGGTTGCTGCAGTTGAACTTCATAGCCATTGGAAACAGATAAGAGGTTTCCAAAATACCAGTCAAACTTTAAGGGGGTGACTTGCTTTGTGGAGATGATCGTAATTGTAAGGAGTTGTGATGACTTCCATTAAATGATCAGATGAACTTGGTGCTGGGAAATAACTTTACCACCCTAGATTCTTCAAATATTTTTTTGATATCTCAGACTGACTTTCAACAATATAAAACTCATACACTGTATGACTGTATACAAAAGATTAGTTAAAAAAGTATTTATTTTCTATTATTTCTGTTATGTTCCATTACAAAAAGAAACAAAACAAAACATAACAAAAACAAAACAGAAGATAGCATTTTATTAGCGGTACCTTAATGAGCTTAAACAATTAGGTGACTTTTGTTTTTCACAAATACATATTACAAACAACCACAAAACAAGAACTGAAAATGAAATAAATAATTTGAATAGTTTTTTTTTAAATTTTAATATTTATAAAATATATAGCACTTTCTATTACATTTGTTCAGTCTTTTTTCTCCATAACAAATTAAAATTTATGACATATATTGCAAATATGCTGAGGGATAAGATAATTGAAAAATCAAAATTCCAGGAGGTATGAAACAGTAAATCAGCGAATGTTCATCAACTTCTTATTATATATCCAGATTGTGCATCTGCTGCAAAAATAGCCATTTCTTCAACTAATATACATATTTTTCTTTATAGTATTATAAGATTGAGTTTTTAAATGTAAAGCTCCATGGATTTTTGTGCCTAATATGTAACTTTTATTAAAATATATTGAATATCTTCCATTAGTATATACTAATATATATATATATACTCACACACTCATAGACACACAGTATGTATTATATATTAGTATATACTGAATAATATAAGACTTTCTGTAATATAAAGTTGGGATTCTTGTGGAGGAAGTTGTTGACAATGGAAGGTACATATATTATAGGAGCGAAAACTGATTAGGTTATCTACATGAGAGAGCTAGTTTTACATTGTCCACTGTGTTTTAATAGACTATCTAATGTACCGCAATAATATACAGAATCCAAGTAAAAACTTCTTTTTATTCTAGTGTCCCTATGCTTTTCCCAATAGAATACGAACTGCTGTCTCAGTTAATCTTCATGAAAAAGGGCAAATTTTATAAAAAGCCAAGGGTGTAGAACTTAGTTGACCTTACAGACCTTATTCCAAGAAAATATTAAAAGTGCACTTAAGAACCCTTCTAATCAGGAAAGCATTAAAGCTTAGATTTGGCTTTATTCCCTTTAATCTTCAGGCCAATCACACACTTGAGCACTCTTCCAGTACAGGGGTGCCCTGGCTGTAATGCTGACTGTCCCTGGACAGTATTAGAGGTTTGCAGGCTCCCTTGTGTAGCTGAGGGAGTACAGTTTTGCTGTTTGTCTTGAGTAAAGTGGGTCAGGCACAGGGGAAGTACGTTTGGGGACATAAGAGTGAATACTCAGATGTGTATTTGTGATAGACAGGAAGAAAGACATAGCAAGGTGAGGACCGACCAACATGGAGTAACTTGTTTGTGGTCAAGCTCTTCCACTTTGTGGAGCAGGAAAAGGGTTATGCAGAATAACCTCCGTGAGAATCCATCAGCCTTCATCTTGTCTCCATGAAAGAGTCACTCTGCCCCTTCCTGCAATACAGGTGAGGGGCTACTCCATTCAGCTTCAAGCATTAAACTCTGGGAGGCTCAACTGGGAAGCTAGGCTTATTAGGGATCTTTCAGACATGTAGGGTGCACCAGCAGGAGTAGCTGTGTAGAGACAGCCAGTACCCAGGACCTGGCATCCTCACTGTTAGCGTTTTGGAGGGTTTTCCCTTTCAACTAGCTTGGCTGCATGCACTGAATACCCATTAGGAGTTGGGACTCATTAGATGTGATTTTGGTTTCTACCATTCTAAAAATCCTGATTCGTACGCTCCAAGGCTACTCTGTGATATGAACACAACAGCAGCGAATGGCAACAGGCAGAGGTTTTACTTGAAAGCACATTCCTGATCCAAACAAAACCCCTAATGTAGCAGCACCTCTGCAGTCATTGCAGAAGGAGACATACATCTTTAGGACACAATTCAGAGAATCAAAATTATGGTCCTGCCTTGAAGGTTCCTTTTGAGAATCTGAAGCCTTATCTTAGTCATCTAAGACAGGTACTTAAATTTAGAGAGCCCGAGTGTCTCCTGTGCCTCCCATTATACCGAACCGGCAAGACGTGTGATTCCAAAGTACAGGCTCATAGCTGCCTAAAGCTGAGCATTTTAAAATCAGCTTAAACTTTTTACAGACACTATGCTTTTCCAGATTGCAGACCTTGTAAGAAAATGGAAAGTGTGATGCAGTAACTAGTTTTTAAAATTAATAAATTAACATTTTCCAAAGGGTTCCTTAGAATCACCATAGCAGAATGCAAACTGATCTTTCTTTTTGGCAAAGGGAATGCTATAGGATATTTAGATGCTGATGTGTAATAACTGCTGAATTTTAAAGGGCAACAACTGTGCATTCACAACATCTTCAGCCTTTTTAATATTTTGCTTGATTTAAGATATATCTTAAGGCATTGAATGTTTAAAGCAACAGGCTGCAGTATCTACAACTATCTACCCATGTGTTCAACCATGCCTTTTGAGACATCAAAGCGAACAAATTAAATAAACAAATACATTTTTGTGGGATCAAGGTCTAATTTGGAATGGAATATATTTCATTATTCTAATCTCAAAGCCTATTGGTACTGTATATTGTTATTTTACATTCTTATGAATCCTGGTTTGAGTAGCCAAAAACTCACAATTAAGAATCTGATTTTCAAAAATAATCCACTTACAGTGGGTTTGTCTCCACAATCTTCACTTTGCACTTAATTAACAAAACAAAATGACCACATCTAAAAAATCCCAATTTTTATTTTAAAGATGCTTTCATATTACCGGAATACAAAGTTCTTTTGAGAATTTGTAACTCTATTTTTACGCAGGTGTAGGAAATGAAACACATAACTCATTCACTGGTGAAATCCAGAATAACATGTCTTCAATTTGTAACATTTTTGTACTGAAATTATGCTACCACAACAGCCTAGTTTATGGTTAGTTCTTTGAAGGTCATCTAGATCATCTAGAATTTCCATCATAAAGCAGAGCAAGTCAAACTAAATATATTTAGTTATACTTAAGGTTACATACTTTTGGTATACTATTTAACATGATGTCAATAGGCACAGTACAGAATTTAAAAAATAAACTTATTTAAGGATCGATATGATGGCATAAAGAGAACATTACATTTTATTTTATGGGTTTATTTATGATTTTATTTTATGTTGGTTAGTTTGCATTTGTTGGTTAAAATAGTTGATTTCATTCGTTTACAGACTTTCAGCAGATGATAGTTCATTATAATTATACTTATCTTCATAATCACTGGGCTGTGTCCTCTTACAAAGGAAGCGTATTCATTATTTGTTACATGCAAAATGAGAGTCCGCAACATAAAGCCTACCTTTTGACATATGTATACGAAGTCCACTATGCTTTAAATGGGAATCTCTTATATGTATTTAAATGAAAAATATAGTCATTTAAAATGTCTGTAAATTATACTTCACTATTTCAGGATTATTTGTAACACAGAACTTAAAATTTGCCCTACTTGGTTCACGACTGAGTTTCCTACCAACTTCCTCTACAAGGGCAAGCTTGGACAAGAGTCATCTCCGAATATTTTGAGAATTCAGTGCACAAAACCCTGTTGTATTAATAAACCAAAACAGAGCTGCAGCCAAGATTATCACATTATATACTCTCACAACATTACTTTAATCTTCTTGAAACTAAAAGTATTGATTAAGCCCCATTAGCTTAGCTCTTGGAAATACAGTGGTTAAAAAAATAAAAACAGAAAACAAAAAATAAACAAACAAAAAAATCATCACAGCTCCAAAATCAGTTCCAAAGCTCCCAAAAATCACAGCTCCAATTTATAGGCTACTGACTCTGAAATATTCTGCACTTAACACCCAGTAAAAAAATTCTCGTTGATAAATACAGCAGTTCTACACAGAAAGTATGTGACAGAGATCTCTAGTATCTACTGGTGGAGTCCAGGCCTCCCAAAATCATTGGATTAGTTCAGTTCTGAGCAAAGTGCAATTCATTTAATTGTTTCACTTTCGTATCATGAAATCCCTCAATCTACAGCAGTTTGCACTGGCATAATTTCTGTGTTTTCAGGAATCTGCTACGTTCACACTTAAGCACATTAAACAATGGCCCTTACTACAACTCTCAGTTTCAGTGGTACAATTGTGCACGTGGTGTGAACTGGTGTCACTGAAGCCCAGAATATTCAACTGGTAGCTGCTTAGTTTTAGATTCTGTTATTAACATGAATGTATTTGTTTAGGTGTTAACACAAGCTGACACAGCGACAGCTGAAAGCCAGACACTATAAGGAAGGAGATGATTTGGGAGCGCAGAGGAGAACTTTTATTAACAGATACTGCGCTTCTCTTTTCAACGTTATCATGACTGTGTCACAATTTGTATTTCCCGTACACGCTTTCTTGACAAGGAAAATGTCTGAGTTGCCATCCTGAGACCATTGTAGTTTTAGTTTCAAAATATCTGGGGTTTATATTCTCCCAGGAACAAATCCTAGATCCCATTGACAGCCATGGCAGTTTTACATAGAATTCGAAGACCGTGGATTTGACCCCCTTATTTACGGAGGATTCATATAAATATACACACATAATGCTAACATTGGCTGTGAAAATGCTGGACTTCGATGACACTTATAGCACTTAATAAGTAGATTACAATGTCACTGTATTTAGCATTGAAATGACTGGGGTAAGTGTGTGACCCAATTTTTTAATTTTTAATGGTGTAACCCTTGGCAGTGTACTCAGACATCATGAGAAGTAAGCACCTACTGAAAGTTATATGAGATAGATAAAGAGTTCCCAGAAAATATATTTTCAGATTATTTGAAACTAGAATCAGCTATGCTTCAAGCTCACATTTTACAAGGACAGTCTCTCATATACGTCAATCCAAATACTTCTAATGCAAAGCAAAAGGACAGAGGCATGACTTGTCGCTACAGTTCACCCCCTGCCCTACATTCTGGATTGTGCCCACTCTGAAAAAGCTTTTCCCTAGATTCATCTATGTGGTTATAATTCTTTTAATACATAGAAGCAGCGGTGGTAGATTTAGTCTTTCTGCTGCCCAAGGTGGATTGTACCCATAACCTTAACCTGCTACGTGCTTTTATAACAAGTCAAAGCAAAAAACATAAAGGCAGTTTTGATTTGAACATAGTAAATAGAACCCTCCCAAAATACTATTTAAAATATGCACGTGCTGAAGGTGCATCAACTGTTCTTCCTGCAATTTTTACATTTTTCTTGCCCTGCCCTTAAAAAAAACACCTCTTGCACTCTTTCAGCTATATCACATGTAAGCTCCCAATATTTTGCTGCTTCCACTAATGTGTATTTTAGCACAGAATTAAATTATTTTGCAAAATTATATTCAAATGAAGTTATTACTTTAAAATTTACAACTCTCTCAGATTTCATCATTAAATGAGACTCTTTTAACTATTATGGATAATATGTGGTCCAGGGTGATGTAAAATTTTAACTATACAAAGACATTATGCATTGTGTCGTCGATTCTATCTTTACAAGTTATTTAATTTGTTCCTGTCTTTTATTAACCATATAAAACAATAAATTATTAAGAATTCAAAGGGTGAATCATTTTTCAAGCATAACGTTGAACATCTATTTTGCTGAGAGCCTGAGTGGAAGAGAGGTTCTATTTATGATGTGAAATCAAGATTATACATGGAAACAATGCATTAAGTAGATTGTGTCTGCAACAAATTCAAAAACTAAATCTTGTGAACAAGCTAATAGATTTACAGAATTTAATTTTCTACAAAAAAAAAAAAAAGAAGAAGGAAATAATGGACATGATATGTTACACACCTGTACTTAATTTATACTTAAAATTAAATTCATACCACATCTATTTTTACATGAAGAAGAGGAACTTATTCATGGATTTTTTAATGTGTCAGTCCAATATGGCTATATCTTTGTCATTGTTGTTGTCAGAATAAAAGAATAAAATAAAAAACAGTATCATGACTCCACGTACAGACACAAGTACGGATTTACAACAGTGCTTAAAGTGCTTTCTTATTTGAGGAGATACTTACACAAATATCTTTTCATGCTCATCCTCTTGTCATCATGTACTATATGCTTGTTGCTTGCTCTTATTTCACTTATAATATAGTGGAGGGTATTAAGTTCATACTCAGGGTTTAGTATATTGTCATATAAAAACATCTGAAAACAGGAAAATGACAATTCTATTTGTATATTATTACAGTAATTTGAAAATTTTATTAAATACCGAAGTGCTTCACTGCATCATTTACTCTTTTGCTTCCAGTGTTGCTTAAAGCACTATGTAAGTATAAATCATACTAACAGCATAACCATCCTAATCTGGGGTTTTGGCTAGGAGTATTTACCGGTGTCTTGCAGAACAGAGATGAATTTATGATCCCACGCGACCATTTATCTGCTGATACTGCAACATGTCTTGCCTCCAAGGATTGTTTTCCATGTGTACAGTTCACCAAAGGTCTAAATCTCATGAATATTTATACATTGTTATGTCTTGTTGTTAAGTGGCAGTGCTGCAATGAGAGATGTCAAGTAGAATACTTTAATTTGCCAGTACCAGAAGTTGTGGGAGCAGCAGAAGCTGTGGCTTGACTGCCTACGAACAAAGGGTCCAAACAAGCCACTTTGGCTGCAAAGAATGAGTGGATACAGTGAAGGACTGCAAATAAGTTGGAAAACTCCAGCTCCTGGAAGTGAAAGCAAAGAAGTTAAACATGAAACAAAAGAATACCTCACAAACATAATCCTAGAAATGAATAATGATTCAAATAGAAACAATTTTAATAGTTTGATATACTTCTGCTAATCTGCCTGATAATTCTCCATTATAGTAACTTAGACTTCCCCACTCAATTAAAAGTTGTATGCAAGCTAATATAAAAGAAGTTGTGAGCTAAGTGCTGCCACAGAAATATTATCTGATGAAGGGGAAGGAAAGTGAATATCATATAGTAGACTTTCCTGTCATGTTGTTATGCAAATCTGGCACTACTAGCAGCATTTATACAGAAAGGGAATGACTACACCATATTAGTCTACATATCTTTGGGCTACAACTGTTTATCCAATATTTTTGAAAAGATCACCTATGTTGAGTTCCACATACATTACATTTATCTGTCCCGTCATTCCACACTCATAGCTATTACCTTACCTATTCTGACTTTTTAGTTAAAAAAATAAAAAAGACATTTTTCAACAAGGCCTACTATCACATAATGATATTCTAGATCAGTTTTCATTGGAAGACTTACTGTTACTAGACCAAAAATAGGAACAGGCTTTGGATTTTAAACCTATTAGCAATATTAAAGAAAGCTTTTTTGTTTTCCTTTAATTTATATTTCTTTATAGCTCTTCAATATATGATTAGAATAGCTGAAACTCTCTTAGACAGCAACACATGGGAAATAAATAAAAAAACCTGTTTTTTACAAATATAAATTTGCTCCTTTTTATCTAATTGACTTTATCTGATCAATTAGATCACAAGGACTGTCATCTGAACTTTGTTCAGTATGATTTTTTGATGTTGGTCATTTAATTAATAAACACCTGCTATATTTGAAAGCTGAGGTATGTTAATACATACATGTGATGGAATGGCAGTGCAGACTTGCTGTTTTCACTGCCTTTATTCATTGCCTACGATTTTTTTACATTGTAAGATAAACACAATAATAGCATATCTCTGATATATTCTATTTGTCTTTCTGTCCAGTGGCGGCATTTCCAGGTTATCTAATGCCATGGGTTTTGCTTGTTTGTCTATAAATTAATCACAATATTGTATATTCAACAAAAATTGCTGAATGTCTCCAAATGATCTTAACCCATAATTTTCTATCTCTTGAGGTTTCCTGGAAGATATCACTTTAAGTAATTCATGGAGACATTTACAAATCTTTTATGTGCAAGTGCAAACAACTGTTTGAAAACAGGTTAGATGTGGAGGCTGTTCTCTGATGGAACAAATGGGTGGAGTTTTGTTCAACTCTATTACAATCTCAGCAGATGTTCTTTGGACACGTTTAGAAATGAATTTTTAATTGCCCAAGAGCTTCTTAAACTCCCCTAACTACCAATTCTCAAGAAAGAAGACAAGGTTTATGCCAAGTTTCACACATCTGCCATCTGTGTCCATTTAAAAAAACCTGTTTAGAGACACTTTTGTTTTTAAACATTGAGAGAAGTGTACTTGTATAACTAAACCAGAGGGGTTTTTTCCTCCTCAAATTTCAGAATAAGAAAATGTATTATAGATAGGAAAATAATGGAAATGCACAGATGAGGAAACAGGAAATTGTGGAAGCTATTTCATAACAGGAACTATTAGTCATTGAAATTAATGTATTTTTCAGCAAACCTTTTTTATTAAGATTTCTTATCCTTTTGGGAATATATATATGTATAAAACCTGAAGCTTAAAATGAGAAAATAAATATTTAATAGAATACTGAAATATTTGTGATATCCATTTCATGTGTTATACGCAGAAAGATTATATTTTCGCCCTTTGTCTCAGCAAAAAAATCTTATTAAAGCTAACCCTGTGCCTTGAGAATTGTTCAAGTCAATTAAGTAAACTTGCTAGCTGGAAGTTGTTATGTACATCCTAATTATGGTTACTGGACACTGAATTTTCACAGTGCATTACTACGATAATTATTATTACCAGTTATCACAGGTGTTTCTGCAACAGTAACACATTGGGAAGATCCATTGCTCAATGGACCTTCAGTGAAAATGTGTAAGGCAATAGAATATCCTCTAAAGACCCTACTGCTTTGCTATTACTAATAGTAATGATGTAAGGAGGAACACTGAGAATTCAGTAAATGCTGGATTTCTGTTTGCCATGAAACCATATTCCTATTTCAATATAGATGTGTATACTATGTGTGCTGAATGAAATAGGAGTCTCTGTAATTAGAAACTGAATTTAACTCAGCATAAACATCTAAAGATATTTAAATGGAGGCTCCACACAATGTCAGCCTGTTTAAGAGTAGCCTTTTTCCCCTCCCTTTTCACTCCACTCACCAGCTAATCAAAATAACCAAATTCTGTGAAGCAGGTTAAAAAAGCTGATGATTCGTATCCTGACTGTGCAAGACAGAAGGATCACTTTCTTACAAATCGTATCACTTTCACCAGAAGTGGAGGTGCATCACAAGACAGAAAGTGGCATTACAACCTATGGCCACACATTGCTCTGCTACCAGCACCGGTCATGTTGTGACTGGAAATGAAAGCAAAATGAAACACAAGCAGACTGATCGGTATGTGCTGAGCACATACAGGCCTGATTAATGACTGCAGTCGACCTCACACGAGCCTGACTGATAGGAATGTAACCCATCAGGAACAACACTTTCCTGGTGGAGCTTCATGAATAGATAAGGGTTGATCTTCATAGCTACTCATAACTTTCTCTGCACTTCTGTGCAGAACATGCACATCTAACTCCCCACAGGTCTACACTACCGCCAGCAGACGCAGGAGAACCCACAAGCTTTCGTGTATGCCTAGCCATCACCAATTGCTTTGGTATGTCATTAATCAGCCACTTGTCCGAATATGCTTTCATCCACCAGGGTGTTACATATTGCAAACTCCACTTCAAATTAAATTTCAAACAAATAGACAAACCCTGAGAAACCTGAAAAAATTATGTTGTCAAGACATTAAGATCGCTACATGTAGGGGAAAAGCCAATGTGAATACAAAAAAAGATTTACTATTATTCCAATTCCAGACTGCTGCTTGTGCACATGACTCTGTTCTTCTAAGGATATCAGTGTCCCGTCTAGTCTTCAAATTGTCTTTCCAACCTATCTCTTGACCAAACTACCCTCACCCAACATTGCTGTCACTATACTAGAGGTTCCAACACTATTAATCTGAACATTCCTAGTTTATGCTAAGGAAAAGATAAGCCAGCAAAAAGTTGTGAGAGAAAGAATACACACAGGAGAGAAGTCATTGCACATAGTTTGAAGTGTATGAGATTTATAGTAATCTTCTATAAAGGAAATCTGGACTGATAGGATAAAGTCAGAAAAAGAAAACAGGAAGAGAGTGATCCAGATCATAAAAATCAGTTCTTATTGTATGATATTAATGATATAACTATGTAAATTGTATATATATAAATTCAACCAGTTGCTAATTTATAAGCATTCATGATATTGTCAGAAAAAAATCTTTTATTTCATCCACATGTAAACTGGTATGCAAAAACATTTGTTGTTTCATCAAGCATGGCATTAGGCAGTCTCTACATATTAGCATCGTATTAGGAATTTGATTTAGACTAGATATGAAAACAAATAATCCATGTGCAAGATGTGGAGAAACTAAAATTTGAATCACATACTCATGCAGTTCATAAACCTGAACTAAGGGTGCTGTCACTGCAATCGAGCAATCAATCCATACAAAACCTAAGCATGTATACCTAAAACCCATTTAAAGCTGATATTTTAAATTCAAAGAGTATTGTGAAGTTCACAGAAAAACCCTCAAGGCTAAGAGAAAGGATTAAACTAAAATTACATTTTGGAGAAGACACTTGAGATAAGCAGAAATACCAGACTGGAAAATGGTGCAAACATGCATCAAGATACCCTGCAACACATTAGAAAGTGGACATTTTGTTCACGTTACAACAGCAGTAAGTCAGGCTGTTGTCTTATTTTAGATTAGATCCTTGGACAAGATAATTTCAAGTACAAATTAAGTGTCACTGCGCACTAAATCCTTTAAAGTTACACTTCTTCCTTTGCTATTTTGTACTCTATGTTCAAACAGCCAAAGGTACGACTAGATCTTCACCCTGATGTACTTATTTCTGTATTTACCTCCTTTTTGTAACTCTCAGACTAGGTATTCAGCTAGTCTGTGAACAAAAGCTAGTCTGATGTAGCACAGCTGTATGACCTTGGTTGAATTTTGCCAGGAAAACTGTTAAGCTGTGAAAAAGCACTGAAAGTACTGGAAAGGAAAAACAGAGACAAAATTCTAATTTTTGACGATCCTTTGACCATGTAAAACACATCATGCTTTGTTTTGTAGTGCACAAATATAAGTATGAATGTATTCTTTTGCTTGGTTCAATTATGTAGGTCCACTGCTATTCTAATTTACTACGTATCAAATCCTCTTCATTCTAACGAGACCCAGAAACTTTTAGTTCACAGAAATTATTTTTTGTGCATTTGCTTACACAATTAAAATAGAAATTCCATGCAGTAAGAAAACCTGTAGTGACTTTATATGTATACTGCATATTGTGAGGTTTGGGGGCTTACATGCATTGAAACAGAATCTTGTAGATTGAAGATATTCTGCATTTTCATCAGAAAAGTATCAAAACAGTTTCCATTGCAGTAGTCCAATACCTGGACAGCTAAAATTGAAGAGTACTGGGCCCCCTGCATTTAATGCAGTCCTGAGACTGCATTACCTTCTGGAAGCTGTTGTGATACTGTAGCAACACTAGCGGGTCTTTAAACTTTAATTAAATAAATAGGTAAATGGACAGCAAGGTCCATAAATTAATCCTTTTCTGCCTTATAGAAGAGGAATAAGCTCTGCCCATCTATCTATTTTTTTTTTTTTTCCCACCCAAACCCAACAATACAGGAAGGATGAAGCAGAAGGTCACGTAGACTCCATGTTTTTCCAAGCTGACAGCTCTATTTTGTAGCTCTCAGTCAGAAAAATTCCGTTTGACTGGGCAAACTTGTGTAATACCTCCTGCTGAGTGACAGCTGGGAAATAACCTGCAGATTGGAACCTCTAACGGGTATCAGTGATTAATGTTGCCCCTAAGTGGTTTTCTCATCAAAAATTACTTAGGTCTTGCCTTAGAGACTTTCAAAGTTGGGTGGTTGCATCCAGGCACCCTGCCTGGGACCCACTAGTGTGACCTATGGTAATTACTGTTTAGATTTAGAGTAGAATTGCATAAGTCTATAAAGAAACATGTGATTACTTACAGAGAGGCCAAACAAAAGCATCACTACAAAGTCTCTGCAGAAAAATAAGCAAAGTTTTCAGAATATCTGAGAGAATTAGGCAATTGTTTAAATATGTGAAATGATTTTCAAACTGAAAAGTAGCACACCTGGTAAAGATGTAGCTAAATCGACAGCACACTGTATATCTCAAAGCATGCCGTTTTGAATTTTGTTAAGTAAGTCAGGCGTGAAATACACTGTTAAAATCTTTGGTAGCACTATAAAAATATTAGGGGTCCAGTGAAGCAATTTCTATCACTGCTTAGGAATATAAATTCCGGTGGCAAGTCTGCTTTTCCAAAAATACACAAAAAACAAGGCTGACTTTGATGAATGGATGCGGTTCTACATCTTCTCTCAGAAAGTATTTTTCTTTGATTCTTCTAACATAGTAGTAGCTCCGTATATTCTACCAGAATACTGGGGAGATGTCAGACAACCATGAAGATGGCATGGCTAACATTTAAAATAGTTATCTAAAATAGTTATTTAATTTTTTCAAAGTAATGCCCACCTACAGCTCCAAATGAATTTACAGAATATTAACAACTTTATCCAGATTCTGGATCACAATGCAATAGCTAGGTATACTGACATTCTTCATTCTCTAGATGACAATAAAAGCCTTCTGAGTCTAACGGATATTCTTGCACAAACATAGCATGCCACAATCACACACCTCGGGGAGAGCATCATGAGATACACAAGATATGCTGCACTGTAAAAAAATGAAGAAGAAAAGCATTTGGATTTTGATGAGATAACTCGTATTTTTACAGGAAGAAACCATATGATGAAACCAATATCTTTTTTTTTATTATTATTATTAAAAACTGTGGCTAGGCAATCTCACATTTATAGGGTGTAACTGAATTATGGTGCATCAAATACATTAACGTATCCTGTTAGTGTTATAGCTGAAACTCAGAGAGAGAGGAAAACAGGCCTGGGAGAAAGGAAAAACACAGATCTCAAATCACACACGCATACACCATAGCAGATTATGCATAAAGTATGTTACTGTTAATGATGAAGGGGAAAAAAGTGATCTCAACTCTACTGATTATATTAAGCTGTATCATAGTTATCTGCCATGCCCTGCTTCCTCATTACAGCTGGGGTATGCAGTAGAGAAGAACCCTAATACGTTGGGCAATGGCTCCTCAGATTTTGGGTTTGTTCTCAGGCTGTGAGCTCTCATTTCACTATATTGTGGTGACTCACTCCATATAACATAACTGAGAGAGCAAGGAAAATTATCTTTACCTAAAAAAGTGTTACCCTGTAAGAATCCTTAAGATAGTGGGTTGCCAAGCTGTCCAGAGTGCATAGTGGCATTTAACAGGTGATAATAGCTATGGCTCTGAATATTCATCACAACCTTTAGCAGATGTTTTAGAAAATCCCCATCATCTGATTCTAAATGAAGCCTGCATACAGTATGCAGGAAATCTGGCTTTTACAAGCATTTCTGAAAACTTGATTAGCATTTCTTAATGACTAGAGAGTTCCAAAAATAGCAATATCTCTAGGTATCTAATGCTAATAATGTCCAAAAATATAAAGGCTAGATTGTATCACCTCCTCTCACACTGAATAGTACTTTAAATACATGAAAGGCTCAATGGATATGATAGGGTTTACCCAAAAAATTTTAAACTTATCAAAGGTGAAAAACATGGCCTCAAAATCTTTACATTCATTTCATAGCCCAGCTTATCTATATTGCTTAGACTAAGCAAAACATACGTCACATATAAACAATATGGAACAGATAGGCGTGCTCACTACAAGTGCCACAGCATCTTTCAAAGACAACGTAACATGACATTCTTTGATTATTTTGTAATTAATATGGTCCGATCATGAAGAAAATGAAATAAAAGTAAAAAAAATTTATTTCCAATTTGATCAATAAGAAAGTCTGAACTCATAATAAAAAGAGGCAACTGGGGAATGTGACAGTACATTAATATGTATGCTAATAAGTTTGTATAATATTCTGCCTGCATAAGGTAGAAGGTATAATTTCTACCTTCATAAAAAGCCAAAAGAAATCTCTTTGAAATAAAGTGCTATTCAGGGTGAGTGAGAACAACAATAGGCACCATAAAGTTACAAGGATATCTCAAAAGGCTTACAAAGTGCTTTGCATTATAGATTTAATTTAAAAAAATTGATGTAAACTATGGTACTCCTTCAAAATATAGATTTTATACTATGCATTGTGTTTAATATATTAAAATATATTTTAAATTTACTGAAAATAGAAGTATTGCCACATTCTTGGATTGCTAAGAACAATTTGAAAAAATTATTGTATCATTAACTTAATGAGTTGTAAAATCTTATGTTAACAAGAGTTAAGTTTCATCTGGCAGATGTACTTACAAACATAATAAAAGTTTCTAATTATTTGCTTAAAAGAAAATCATCCTCATGACAGAAGGTTGTCAAGCTACAGTGTCTTACTAGGAAAGAAAAGAAATTGTGTACTATTAAAATATTTTTTAAAGGAAATAGGAAGAAATTATTTATCTTTGACAAGTAGTAAAACATGGAAAATTGAAAATCACCTTCCACCACTCGTCATTGCTGTTGATTTAACGGGAGTTTTTACATACTTTTAATGTGCTGAGTATAAAATTAAGAATCAAGTAAATAGCTGTTAGGTAGAAAAAATTATCATCAAACATAAAGCAATATGTAGAAAGAAACATAGCTGATTAATGTACATTAACTATTTTTATCTCACAAGTGTCCCAAATACAATGCCTTTTATTTAACATACTTTATCATGCTGTGAATACCTGAGTATTAGGGTACAAGGGTATGTAGCTTGTTTAGCAACAATTTAATTAACCATTTCTTTTTTAGTTTCAGAACCCTACTGTTATTACATTCATCCAGTAATTTTGTCTCTGACGCAGACAAGAAAGCTAAAATAGTAAATGCTTCATCAAAAGTAAGGCCTAACGATGGCCAAGAAAATAGCATTTAAGTTTACATGCACTTTGGGATTCTAGTTAAAAAGACCTTAAATTCACACTCTTAGGCAGCGCCTGTTACCAAAGTTTGAGGGAGATCACTTTTCCTCACAAGTACTGGAATAGTAAATGCCCTAAAAGACGTCAGACAAACTAGTCATAAAACTCTGAGGGTGACTGTTTTTGTAAATTACTTCTGGAATGAAAAGCACAACTGAAAACGGTCCTTTTCTAATTCTGAATTTAACACAGACATAAACCTTGAATGACAAGTGAAGGGATAAGATTTATTTCAGATTCTTTGATTCTAAGAAATAAAAATAGATTTTAGACTCTCACTGCTTTTTGTCCACATGCAGACTTAAGGATATATGTTGCACTGTTTCCTTTGCGTCTAACCAGACCATGGCATGAGTACAGAGTGATAGCTAGGGGATTCAAACTCTCAGCCATTTTTATCAAAGTGAGAAAGAAGTGAGCTTGTGAAGATGCTTAAAACCACATATAGTGAGTCTTTTTGTTTGTTTGTTTGTTTTGGTTGTAATTAAACATTTTAAAAACACTTTAACCTATCAGAAATCCAAACAATTCAATTCCATTGTGGAACAACTCAGTCAGCTTTCTTTTAATAGTTAATTCTTTGACTCCACATGTTAATCTAAAAGTTTTCAGCAATTTAATTTGATTTACTTCTCCTATTTCCTAGCTGCTTGGATAATTGCTTTTAATATATATTGACTATATGATACAAAGAATGTGTTGTTTTTACCTTTGCTTCAATTTGTTTAGTGTCTAGGTTTTGGAACAAAAATTTGATTTTGCTCTTCCCATCATCTGAAGAACCTTTGAGCTGGGAAAACTTGTACCTCCAAAGCACAGCCTAGAGGAAATAAAACACACACAATTAAGTCAGCGTAGCTGTTACGGAAAACTATATTAGAAAAAGTAGATCTCCTTCCACAGGACTTTTTAATCTCCATATGGTACAGAATTAAACCAATTTAGTGCTATCTTGTCTCAAATCCCTCTCATCACATGGATGTATTACGTACTTCAGCAGTGTCTGATTCAGATCAGTCAGATTACATTTATGAAATATACTCAGGCCAAAAAATAAGTCTTCTTTTCACTGCAGATCTGTTGATTCTCCACTCCACCTGAAGTGATAACCTGTCACACAACTCCTCTCTTTTTATTTCCATAGGAAACAAACAAACAAAAAAAACTAGTTGTATTTACATAAAGGGTACACACAATTTAAAACAAATAAAGATTTTAAAATGATAGAATAACAAAAATAAACCTTGTAAGAAGAAGTCATTTTGAGTTTACTTATGAAAGATCTAATCAGGATTTTGAAAAGATCACTAATTCTAAATATATTGGTAGCCATTCAAGTCATTATATTATTAATCATATTGTGTCTTTAAAAAGAAGACTTATTGCTCTACAGAATAAACATACAATGAATAAAATATGTAACTGGCTACAAAAAGACTTTCTGTGTTTGTTATATCTAATGTGTAGACAAATTACATTTTAAACTCCATTCGGACTAGAGCAGAAAAGAGCTTTTTTTTTTTTCTTGTAAGTAGTTTCAGCATCACTGAAAGATATCTTTTCCCCCACAGCTATATTTGAAGCAATGAACTTTTTCATTGTGGTTTCAGTGGTATTTCACATAATTATAAGGTCATCCTCATTCATACTACACTGCTACTTTGAGCAGACATTAATTTCACAGGCATCAGACAACATAAAAACTTAAGGCAAGACGAGCTGTTCCATTTCTTTTGTCTAATGGCCTGTAAATGAATTCCTCTCAGTGGCTCATCTGTGCCCTTTGACTATATGGTTAACAATTTAGTATCTAGCTGAAATTAAATAGAATTAGAAAGAGGTCAAATTCTCAGCTTTTACAAATCTGTGCAGGTCCCTTTGCTTCAAGATGTCTTGATTTCTTTTTATTAATGAGTTGGCAAAATCTTTTACTTGCATCAAGCTAAATAATGATAGCTATGCTTGTTATTGCCTTAGTAACTTAAAGAGGGAAAAAAAAAAAGGACAGTATCTTAGGTGTGCATTAATACGAAACGAAAAAAGTAAACATGACAAATACAGCCCTTTGCCTTGGCATTAGTGACATCAAAGTTTGCACTTGTATATAACAAAAACTCTCTATGATCCGGATTTAAAAAAAATCTAAGCTCATCAACACTTTCATTTTTTGCATTTATGTAACAGGTGAGCTCTCATCTATCATAAACAGAACAAAGGACATTATTTTAGATATTTAGAGGAGTTTCACAATTTGTGTGAAACTTTATCAGATTTGTTGGAAATGCTGCCCTCCTGAGCACACCAATCCATGCTACAGAAAATAGAATAGCTTCCCTCATCTCTAAGTGTGTGCAATCCCTTTCACCTTCTTTGATCAGTGACATTTACTTATACCCTGCAAGTAATGAGTTAAAAAATCAAAGGAAAACAAAACAGCATACCATTCACGTGACTGTACTTCTTATCTACACTGTAATCACCTTTTTTACAAGTCCATGTAACTTAACAAAGCTCATCAGAAAATCATGACCATTGCCTTTCTGCAGGAACAGCAAATCTATTTAAGCATGCCATTTACCAGCTGAGAAATGTAAAGGGCAATGACGGTCTCTCTATCTCAGAACAACAGTCACAGAAATGTGCTATCATCTGTCTCTTCTTGACATTTGAACTATTGTGCATGCTAAGAAGGGTCAACGTAAGAGCAGTCCGGGGAGAGGTGCACTAGCAATAAGGACCTTAGATGGGCAGGCAAAGTCCCAGGGTACCTGGCTCTATTCCTAATTAGATTGAGTGTACAAGAAGGATGCACAGAACTGCAGTATTTTTGCACTGCCCGCACAGCTTTGCCACTTGCTTCATTCTCCCTCAGTGAACGCAGAATGATAGTCATACCAAATCTCAGACATGATTCAGGAACACCCTTAAGTTTATGTATAACATCAGTACTGGAGAGGCCTACCTAGCAATGGCGCTTATTTAAGTACACTGCAAAATCAGGTCTATAGTGTGGAGAGAAAAAATCCTTGAGACTATACCCAAAAAGATAGCAATTCTTCCATCAAAACAAGTTCCTAGAACTGAGAGTTCAACAGGATACTTAGCAGAGACTATTATATCCTCTTCATCTAAAGGATGAAGGATGTAAGGAATAAAAATGCCACTGATAATTTAAGAAATGACTTCCAAATGTAAGTACTATCTGTTTCCTTTGAGTGCTCTTCAACAAATTGCACACATTTTTCTCATAAACGTCCACATGAAGAAAAGCTCTATTTGCAAAAGTAAGTGAGGGGAAAATGTGACCTGTAAGTTATTAAGTCAGGAACATAAAGTATTGTGAACACTCGCACTAGTCATCCTGGCTACTTCTTTTGTTGTAGGGAGAGAATTTCTGAAGGACAATTTCTCCCACATGACTTGAACTGGGATGAATACTGATTCACTCTGATATACTCTGGATGGGTCTCTGTCTCACTGTTATCTACACAGGAAGTCTAACAGCTAGCTTAAATCAGATGTTCAAATTCTGGATAGCCAAGGTTAGGTGAGTTAGTTAAGCATATGCCCAGGAATAACCATTTAATTCTGTGTCTGCTACCTAAGAAGCTGAAGTACTGTGTCTAGCCAGAACCACACAATTCACTTATGTAATAGATATACACAAGGATGCAGAATGCTGTGACCTAGCAGTTAGATTACTCTTTGAAAATATAGTATTTTAGGAGTTCCTGTGTTATTTCTTCTGGTTTCATTTCATCGGTCAGAGATGTGTAGAAACAGCAGTGACATAATCACATAAGAGGCAGAGTTTCATCTACTACTGCCTTTCATGGTTCCTGATTTTGCTGTTACACTGCTCAGTGTGCTCACTTTCTTGAATTCTGATGTTAAGGCTAATTCTCCTGCATTTAATAAATAAGCATCCTTGGGGATGTTGATCACCACTGTGAGTACCATTGCCAGAGCCAGGTGCAGGATTTTTCCATGCTTTTGAGCATCAGAACTCCTCAGCCCATTTGTTGAATGCTTGCCTCAGAGAAAGAATTAAAATAAGTTGATATAATTTTTTACAGAAATATATTTTGACTTCTGAGCAGTAAGTACATTTGCAAAACATGCTCGCTGGTGCAAAAAACAGCAAAAAAATTAAATATGTCATATAAATTATTTCTAAATTGTTTTTTATGAATTATTTGTAGCCGAAGTACTTAACAGGTCTGCAAATGCAGTGTTACTGAGGTGATTGCTCTACTACGTTCTGATAGGGTTTCTTTTAGTAAATAAAAACAGCCCATTCCCTTCAAGTGCTTTCTTTGTATAATCTTCAATAACTGTGCTTAACTTACATAACTGAGCATAATTTACAGGACAGCATATGCAATTTGTAGGAAGTAATACCTTTTGAATGGAATACAGACAGGTGGATCAGGTGGCAATTTTTTTTTTTTTTAAGTACAAATTTCAACCAAATTCAGAAATATTCTCTGGTGAATACTGTCAAAATGGAACATGGAAGAAAAGCTATTGACTTCAGCACCTACAACATTTTACAAAAATGGAGAACAATTATATTGTCATTTTTCTTAGCGTTAGTGCTAAATCTAGAACATACATTCTGCAACACATCTTAGAAAATATTTTCATGCTCAGATTACATGACAGTTTGCTACTCACTGCTGTTATTTCGTATTCCTGCACTAAACCATGTATAATTTTGATGAGGTATTGATTTTTCTCATAGTACAACAAAAAGAAAATTATTTCCCACCTAGATAATGGTATCAGAGAAATAAGTAATGTATTATAATTATCTCAGTTTAAGGTATAAGTTAGGAGGTCTGGTTATGGTTTTGGGTCAAGGAGGTTGACTTACCTGGAATGCAAACTGAATTACTAAACAAAACCAGAATAATTAGGTGTCTGTGTTCTTACTTACCACACTCCAGAAAATATACATAGAAATATGAATGTCTACCTATGGGTGGCTCCATGATAGCTATATGATTTAGGCAGGATGTATAGGCTTTTTTGCATTAACACCAGGAATATGTTTTGTCAATATGAGTATCTGCAACTAGAAGAGAATGAATTTGTGCCACATGGCTTCAATAAGGAACTATCTTCATATTTATCACCAAAGAGTCTTGCCACTTCTGTATTGGATTATGCACTGCAGATCAATTCTGAAAAAGACTGTGTACACTTACTGACCTTGGAAATAGTGCTTGCACTATACAACTGCATCATTTCACCTACCAGTACTCATAAGCAAATACAGATTTTCTGTATACTTTGCATTGACATGAATCATACAGCTTTTTATTACACAAAAGAAATTAGTTTGGCCTTCAGTAGGATACTTGGAAAAAAAAAATGAAAGGGTCTGTCACTATTTTATAATGACTGGACAACTACATCTCACACTGGCTGTAAATGGTAGAGCAACAAACTTTACTAAAGGAGGAAACGTCAGAGGTTGCTTTTCAAATATCAGCTTCAACAAAACACTTCCTTGTCTTTTCCTTCACAGTCTCAAAAAGCTGTAGCTGTCTTTTTTCATGATTGCCTTTTTTTCTGGATACTATAACTGATTAAATTATGCTTCTCTTCAGCTTTTGAAAGCAAATTTTATATGATAAATATTACAGAATTATTCTAAACCTTAGTGGACAACTCTCAAGCTAATGTTTATTGTGCGACTTAAATAAATGATACTGCTCATAAGTCAAACTAAATCAAGTGTAGATCTACATGCCCTGCAGGTCCCTATTTTCAAGAATGAAAGTAATTGGGTCTTTGGGCACCTGGGACCCATCT